GAACAACGAATTGGCACGTCAAGTGTATACTAGAATAAATTCATCTATTGACTTAGTGGCTGCTGAAGGACGTTACCATAAATTATGCCATGACAATTTTTTTAAACCACTAAAAGTTACTCCACCTGGAAGACCATCTGATAAGCTATGTGATAAAGCATTTTCCTCGCTATGTAGTTATATAAACGACAATCTCGAAATGTGTCAATTTTCCTTAAATGATTTGCACGAAAAAATGGAAAGCTATCTACCTACCGAAAACAAAGATTGCATGTGGAGCAAAACCTATTTAAAAGGCATGTTAATTGCCTGCTATCAAGATAGAATAAATACAGCACAAGTAGGAACAAACTTAATACTGACATTTAAAGAATATGCCGAAAAAATATTGAGTGATCAGTGGTACAATTCTAGAAACAAAGATGAGGAATCAGAATGTGTTAGGATTATAACTGCTGCAGCAAACATATTACGAGAGAATATAAGAAGACAAGTTTATGAAATAAATACATATCCAACAAATTCGGAATTTCAAAACGGAGGCCAAGATTGTATTCCTGACAATTTAAAAATATTTTTACGTACTCTCTTTAATCAGACATCATCCGATAAAGAAAATTTGACAACCGAACGAAAAATGGTAAGCCTATCCAATGCCATAATCGCTATTATACGCCCAAAGTCTTATATATCTCCGGTGCTCTTGGGTTTGGGTATTCATCTTCACCGAAAATTTGGATCTAAAGATTTACTCTCCATTTTACATGCTTTGGGTTTTGTTAGTCACTATAAATCTGTAATGTTGTATGAAAACACAGCAGCAGAATTATCCGTAAATGTTAGCAGTCCATCATTTATACAATTTGCATTTGATAATGCAGATTTTAACATTCGAACACTGGATGGATTTGGAACTTTCCATGCAATGGGCGGAGTTATGGTTGTTACACCTGAAAAAGCTATGACGATAGATCCTTTACACAAAACGCCTCAAAATCAGTTGCAAGTAGGACAGTTTGGAACAGCACCAATCGTAGCTTACCATAAGCCGCCAATCCTTGGTTTAAGCAAAATTACAGTTGAAAAACTCTGTGTGTTAAAACCTGAAAGTCTCCGGGTTTCCAGTCTGTTAAATTGTCTTTGGGCATATGGTCAAATGAATAACTTTCAACCAAATTCTTCCTGGCAAGGATATATGTCTGCAAAAATCCAAAGTAAGGGTTCACAGGAGGTTAGTAAAGTAGTACCGTTGCCTTTTGTAAATTTAGACCCAAGTAACCCTACTGCTATTTACTCGTCATTGGTGTTTGCACTCAAGTTATGCAAAAAATTTAATATGAAGACCTGCATTGCAACGTTTGATCAACCATTGTTTGTTAAAGCTACAGAAATTGTGTTGGCATCAAACCCTACAGACGATTTATCCCAAGTAGTTGTGCGATTAGGAACATTCCATCTTATAATGTCATTTATGGGAGCAATAGGGTTTACAATGTCAGGATCAGGGCTCGAAGAATTGTGGGCTACAGTTTACGCTGGGAATAGTATTCCGCATCTAATTAATGGTCATGCTTATTCGAGGGCATTGCGTGCTCATCTGCTTACCCAATCTGCATTAACACAACTGCTATTTTTAAAAAATACAGGTAGTCCTGAATATTGCAAAAATGATTTGGAAGAACTGTATAACCCTGATACTCAAATAGAAAATGTCAACGACCATTTACTTTTGAACAGACTACTGAGTAATTTTGAAGAAATATTTAAAACAACAGAAGCTTCCCATCGGACTGCAAAACTATGGTGTCAATATTGGAATCAGGTAGAGATTTTAAAAATGACAATCAAAGCAGATAGAACTGCCGATTGGGATTTACACTTATATTGTGCCAGTTCCATGCTACCATATTTCCATGCGGCAGGACATTTGCCATATGCAAAAAGTTGTCATCTTTATGTTCAAAATATGTTAGCTTGTAAACATAGTATGCATCCGGAAGATTACAGAAGATTGACCAAAGAAGATTGTAATGTAGTTCGTAGAAACGATAAGTATTGGTCTGGGACACCGTTAGATATGATAATTGAGCAAGAGCTTATGCGACGTATGAAAACCTCTGGAGGCTTGACTCACGGAAGAGGAATTACAGACAGCACATTATCTCGCTGGATAAGTGGAATGCCCCAATGTCTTCAAGTAAGTGAAGCCTTAGAAAATTTCTCAGGAGTAATTACACTCACATCCGAGCAACATGTGGAGTTACGGTCCTCACGAATAGAACGAGATCAACAAGATTTACGCAAACTATTTGATTGGTTAGAGATACGAAATCCGTTTAATCCTGATATAAAAGAGTTAATGTCAATTAGTTCTGGTGTTGTGGCCAACAGTGACGTCAACTGCGACAAAGCTGCAGAAATCGGCGAAAAAGTGATAAGCAGAATTATTGGTACCAACTACAATGTCTTACGGCTTAAACGTAACGACAAAGTGAGATCGCTTTTATCAGGAATTTCATCAGTAAAAATTAATGGTGAACAAAAAACTGTAGATCCTGCACTTCTTTTTAGTAGAATACTTTGCTCTGCATCGTCTCCTGAAGAGATAAAACAGTGTTTTAAGTATGAATTGGCTGCATGGTCTCCTAGTTTGTTTGACAACGGATTATTACGAAAAACCAGCAAATCAACGTTATACAAATTATTTGATAAGCTGCACCCGCCATTACTTCAAAATCCGAATTCCATAACACATTATGTAATAGATGGAGGGCACTTGCTACACAAAGTTGTTTGGCAAAACCCAGCAATATTTTCAGATGTATTTTCTCAATACTACAATTATATAAAATATCATTATGGTCAAAGTGTCACTGTTGTTTTCGACGGCTATGAAGAAATGCAAACCAAAATTGTAGAGCAAAATCGCAGGTCTTCGGGTAAAAAAATGGTACCAATTGTATCTTTTTCCAATCTATCTGCAGTGAAGATACCAAAAGCAGATTTTTTGTCAAACAGCACTAACAAAAGCAACTTCATACGGGCTCTCGGAAAAATGTTGGTCGAAAATGGAATCAATGTTAAATTCGCTGATGGTGATGCTGATACTCTTATTGTAACTACTGCAGTCGCAATAAGTGACAATTTTCCTGAAGGTGCGGTAGCAGTAGTTAGCGACGATACAGATATTATGGTGTTATTAATCCATTACTGTCAGAAGAGGCTGTTTATGATTCGTCCGGGAAAATTATCTAAACCAAATAAAGTAACCAATATATCGGCCTTACAACAAAGATTGGGAGACCTAAAGGATGTGATTCTTAGTGTCCACGCTATGACTGGTTGTGACACAACCTCTGCTGTGTTTAATAAAGGCAAAATTAATTTAGTAAACACCGTTCAAAGGAAAAGGTTATGTAACATCTTAAAAGAATTTTATAATCCTCATGCTACAAAGGAGAAGTTAGAAGAAATTACAACTCAATTCTTTATAGCAGCATATGTCAAAAGTGTACCACAAACACCAGATTTGGATAGTGTTAGATACACACTTTATCAACAGTATGTAGCCAAACGAAGCCTTAATACCAATTTTAACTTGGCATCATTACCACCTACCTCAAACAGTGCAAAGTATCACGGATTTAGAGTTTTCCATCAGGTGAGTCAAATATAATGTGGTGCGTTGAAATAGGTACCTTACCATAATTTTTAAATTGCAGGTACAGGCTTGGTTAAATAACAATTTACCACCGCAGGATTGGGGGTGGATCCTAAAAAATGGAAATCTGCACCCAATTCATTCAGACCAAGCCATGGCACCTACATGGGTTTTGCAAAAAATTTTTTGCAATTGCTCATCAGGGGGCTGTAAAAAAGCATGTAGATGTAAGCGAATGGGTCTTAGCTGCTCTATGGCATGTGGGCAATGCAATGGCATTACTTGTATGAACCCAACATATGTGGACGCAGATGAAGACTCTTTTTAAGATAAGTTCCCTATTTTTGTTCTTTAAATATTAAACGTTCTAGCATATGTTGTGTAATAATTATGTCTCCCACCCCCCACAAATTACTCCCGAACCCGCAATACCACTTCATTGTATTCTACAAGTTTTATTTTTTGTCACTTTTTTCTAAAATTCTTACTTGTAGGGTTATTAAGAATAATGCAAATAAAATGTAAATTTTACCTCACTTAAGGGGTGGTTTTAGGGTGATGGACTCAACGCCTCAACGCTGGTGTTTCAGTGGGTATTTAGTACCTTAAAACAAAGTACTATGCGAAATTTCAGCTTGATATTTCTATTTTTTAGGATTCAACTCCAGTAAGTACTCGTAATTAAATAAGTAGGTACCTTGTTCAACGAATTGCTACAAATTTTATCTGCGCCACTAAACATCTAAAAAAATTGATGTAGTTATACCTATTTCGTAGGAAATTTTCTTCTCTACAATTTTTCTCTCTTTACATTTTTCCTTAAAATGCTTAGTTTTAGAGTTATTAGGACAAATTTCGAAAAAGGTAGATTTTACGCCACTTAAGGGGTGGTTTTGGGGTGACGGGCTCAACGTCTCGGCGCTGGGGTTTCAGAGGGTATTTAGTACCTTAAAACAAACTACCTTGCCAAATTTCAGCTTGTCTCTAATTTGTTGAACGTCATCCTGTATCATCCCTGTGCTATATTGCATATTTTATAAATTTAAGAATGGTGCGAAAACCCGTAGGAAAAGCAATGTACTTTCTTTATTCCAGTTATTTAATTTAAAAAGGAAAAAATGGACCGACTGCAGAATTGCAGTTAGCTTCAATAAACAATGGCGAAAATTATATTTCGTAGCAAATACAATATTCTTTGTACCAACAATTTTGAGATACGTCGGTGTTGTTGTTGTGTATGCCTATACACAATCATAGGATTTCCTATTCCTGGTGATTTAATTGGCAAACAGCTTCGGGGTTTCTTCGTATTGGATTTTATCCGCGTTCATTTTGCTAAAAATAACAAACAAAAGAGAATGAGACTTTCTGACTATAATAGCCGTGGAATTAATATGCCTCAACAGTCGTAAAAAAATTTACGATCGGAAGGGCGTTATGAATAAATATTATTTTAAATTGGAACACCATAGCGCTTTCCTCTAGTCAAGTAAAAATAAAAATGATTAATGAAATGAAATTGACCGTAAGGGTTTTGCTTGATTTCACCTTTAGAAGTTTTAGTTTCACCCCATTGAATAGGGGTAATGAGATTTATATCTTATTTCTGTAATAAACGACACATTTGCGTGGGAAAGCAACAGGTATTGATTTCGATGGCGCTCCCGGCTAGTTTAACCTGTACATAATTACATTATTAAGGGATGCGTCATTCGGCAAGTCAAAATGAAATAATACGCATTATATTCAATATAAGTACATCAGTGTGTCCAAGCGATGTCGGAACTAAAAGTAATTGGCTGATAAATTCAACAGGAAACGAATTAATTGATCTCTGTTTACATTCATTTAGTAAATTGGTTACGTTTATTGTGTTTAGGAATTCGTCAAGTGTACAAAACGAAAGTCAATTAATTTTAATTATATCTCATCTCATCATACGTGAAGGAAGGTTTAACGCCCGCTTTTTCAGAACACGAATGCCATCTGTGATTTTTAATGGTATGGCAACGTTACCGAAATGTAAACTTCCGCAATAGCTGCCAACAAAGTTGACCACTCTGCCTGGTAGCTTGAACTCATAATTCTATAATTATAACCAGATAGGTAAACATATTTTTTCTCAATTTAATAATAGTATTTGATAGCATATACTTCCGGAATGTTGTTCGTGACAATTGACTTCCCTTCTGGTTTTATGCGATCCATTACGTTTAATTGCGAAAGAATGCTCCCCCATACATTAATAGCACTATAGCAGTATGCAGAAGACCGTAACATCCCATATACAGACATCTTCAATTAATCAATCCTAATAAGTTTTGAATTGGCCATTATATAATGAGACATCAGAGAAAGAAGGCGCCAATACTTGGGAATATTGCAAGTCACGTAAAAACGTCCTTTTGTTATGATGCCCCACCAAAGTGTTAATATTCCTTTCAGTCACAAGTCAAATGTGAAATACAAATTTTTAAACTCAGTCTATCGACACTTTTGATGGTCTCTGTGAAGCAATTTGCCGTTAATAAGTGATGAGTGCTTCTTTTTAGGCACCAAAGCGAATACTCAATACTAGATCAGAATTCCTACACGTGACACGTAAGTTTTAAACATGTGCATTGATAAAACAGTTCATTCACAGTTTTTTTTAACTAGCAATCTTTAGATTAGACTTGAAATAGCAATACCTACTAGTGTTAAAGTTCTAAAAATATGTAAAACGCGGTCCGAAACGAACGGGTTTAGGTTTTTAATTAACAGGATATGCGCCTTCCAGTAATTAGAGCTCTATGTGTAGAAGTTTAGGGCAAAGGGTTTAATCTGTAAAGATAGGCACCATAATTTTTAACGTCACCTATGGATAATTATAAAGACCATCTTAGACCCAAGCGTGACATCCTGAGCACGTGCATCTCACTTCCTGGAAAGGAACAAGCGGAAGGTTTCAACTCGTCCAAGATGCATACTGATGTAAACACAATATCGTTAGATATTAAAGTGTCAATCTACCAGATTGACCTTTCGCTAGTACTTTCACATGTCTTCACAACGCAATACAATTCACTTTGTCATACACACAAATATGTCAACAAGAATGAACGATTTAACAATCTCGACACTCGTAAAAATCGAAACCCTTCAACATAAACAGTGTGAAATGTATTTTCAAAGGATCCGTGCAGTAAAATGTTCTACAATGACTTTCCAACCCTCCTAAACCGGCTTGAGTTATTGTTATGGCTTGCCCATTCTTCTAGTGTGTTACTTAAAACATTGTTTTCTATGCTATTACTTATTATTGAGTGTGAAATTTTATTTATCCTGAGTTGTTCCAAGTAAGCTGATTTACACTAATTCTCAGGATTGCTATCGAAGTAGTTAAGGAGAGTGCAATTGTGCATGAAGATCCTATAAAAAACACTAACAATGAATTTTAGTGCCACTGCCGCTGCAGTCGGCCTCAATTTTGCCCCTCGATCGGATCATTACGTTGTAATCGCTGTCGAATATGTTAATATTGTTATTCTGCACTTATTTCCATTTATTGGTACCCAAGTATCGATTTTTTTACTTGCATTAAATAAAATTAAACCTCTACAGCACTGGCAAAGATTCTACTACGACAAATCATTTTTATTTTGCCCACGGCTAGCTCTGTAATAAAAAATGTTCGTCTACCGCTTACCTTACGGATAGCTTTCCTTAAAATCTGAGATTAAAAATCTAATGCTCTGGTTTCATTGAACTCGAATAAATACGCATGTGACCTTAGTTGATTGAATATATTAAGAAAACAAAGGTGATTAAGTTCAATTTTTCTTACCAAGTTATTGGACTTGATAACCCGTGATAACGGGTCCGTGCTAAATTTGATCCCTATTTCTTGTTTAAAATTCTTATTCTTCTGTTTAAAATATACACACACACATCTGAATGCTAAGCAAAACTTAAATCCAACCAAAATAAGTCAAATCCTCTGTAAGGAGTCGATTCTTATCAATAAATACAATACAAAATCTGGTTCATGTAAATAATTTTCATGGGTCGATCCCTTTAGGAATAGGAATATTACATTACACAAATTTAATATACCTATTCCTAAAAATAATCGACGATTACTTTATACAAATAAACAAATTTAAAATAACTTACAGTTATTGACGTGGTAATATTCACTTCTGGTATCAAACGATCTTGTCTCTTCTTCGAAAATTCCGCTTTCATTGGAAATATGGAAACGATGATACCGTTGACGTTCTGCACGGCCCCGGTAACGATATCTTCGTGACGAATGCAAAATTTGACCGAAGAAAAGTTCGTATGAATCGCGATCCAAGCAAACCGGCTACAAATTCTCGAAACTAATACTCGAGGTCGTGAATACGAATACGAATAAAATGCCCATGTTCCGCTCTGTTGATATTAATTTTGCCCTATTTATTAACTAGATTTTGTTGCGGGTAAATGCATCTATTTTTTAAATTCCCTACCACATGCCTTAGTATACAACATTTCGTTTATCGCACAAGGCGATGTATAAAGACGTCACTTTTAGGAACTCGCTTTTAATCAGCCGTTACTGTTACGACGAATTAGGCTACCTTCTGATTTCAATTACCGCTTACTACGTGACTGAAAATTAGCAGCAACGGTCTTGTTCAGAATTTTTTTCCCCAAAATAAAACTTTTAAAGCTTTATCGCTACTAGAGAAACCGCTGGAGAAATTAGCTGCGATTAAAACACTCTTTAAAACATAAAACTCCCTTCCTTACAATACGGTCTCACTGGCGTTTTATCTCGAAAATACACACGTTGTTATCGCTTTTATTTCCAGACATACTTCCGTTCCCGTTCGCTTTGAAGCGGTATTAAGGGTAAATTTTCCTATGTTGAACAAAATACAAATTCAAAACCAAATTTCACACGGAACAATACACATGTTTCTCTTTCGCGCGACCGCGAGAACCGTACTGTACCGTGTGAGAGAGAAGGACGCAGTGTGACAGCTAGATCGTAATGTACCCATCGATGTAAGAAAGTACGCATGCGCTCTCTTCATGTAATAGTAGCAGGTAGAAATATGAATTATATAAATTTTAATTAAGGATAGTCTTAACTTTTAGGCAACCATTTGCAATGTGTTTGCTTGCACATTAAGATTGCTAAAAAATGTATTTTGCTTGGTAAACACATGGGCGAAGGTTGACCGGGATCTTGTACGAAATTTTTTTTGGGCACATCCTTTTCCATTTGTAAGGAAAGAAAAAGTGAAGGCAGAATTAAATAGGTTACAGGGATTACGTGTTATTGAGCCTATTGATTATTGTCCGTGGGACACACCAATGGTTCCAATTTTTAAAAAAAAGATGGTTCAGTTACAGTGTGCGTAGATTATAAATCGGACTATGGAATTAGTGCAGTGATTTATTTCCAAATGGGGATGGAAAACCTGTCTGCGTTTTTCATTTAACTGCCACGTCATTTATTTGTTGTGTATGTGTAACGTTTACGTCCAATTATGCTTGTAATTCGTCGTCTGCAAACTGTTACGTTCACTTTCAGCAAATGTAAGAAAATTTCCTTGAGATATGCACACGGTACGCTCAGGCAAAGAGAGAGGTGTGGGTGAATAACGCTGTTTTTGTACACTAGCAAAAAAAAAGCAAAAGGGGAAAGTAGTAAAAGTAAACTGGATAGGCGCCATTTAGTCTTTAGTAAATTTCAAAAGAGAAAAGATAATACTTACCTGCAGGGGAAAACAAGGCAGACTAAGAGGTTCTTGTTCTTGTCTTGATAAGCTAAAGAAATAAAATACTTGACAGGGATAGAACATAAACAAGAATTGTGGTTATAATTGAAGATCTAGATCTGAAATGTCAATATTCAAATTTAGCAAAACAAATTTTTAGGAAAAAGAGCATTAACACGTAGTCAGAGAAAATTATTAAAATCAAAACAGGCTTCCGCGGAAAAC